TTTACCACCTTGACCATGTCAACTTTATGTATCTTCTCTGAAGAAAACTTCCAATCATCATCATGTTAGTTGCACTAATCACTCTAATATTGAGCATGATGCCTTTAAGAGTCAACAGCAGAGGTCATGGAGGCTTTTTGTGATCTTCTTCTTCTTCTTCTTCTTCTTACCCAATCAATGGCGCCTATATTTCAACTGTTCACCTGCTAAATCCATTGGGGAGAGACTTCGTTTCCTGCTAAATATTGGATATATATATATATATATATATATATATATATATATATATATATATGTATGTATGTATGTATGTATATGTATGTATGTATGTATGTATATATATGTATGTATGTATGTATATATATGTATATATATATATATATATATATAGGTCCCAGAGAACATACGAGATTGGAGTACTGATACATAGTTATCATCTGCACCAGATTTAGTTGAGCACGACAAACTACGAGACCTATCGATGTAGTTTATTGTGTCATTGCCTCATCCATGACCATTCACAGTGAAGGAAAACATCAGCTCATGTACCAGATACAAGGTTGTAAGTATCTGTGACATAATCAAATCTATGGAGGTTTGTTTACATGCTATGTATTAATCTATAGTGACTATAAAGTGATTCAGATGTTTGGATAACTTAATGGGAAATTTTCTTGTTAGGTAGTTGGACTTGCATGATACTCTTTGAATTCATTTTATGTTTTGGTCATATATGAATCTCCAGACATTAAGAATATTTTGATCCATATATCTAAATTTCTACTAATCAATTGATCCATCACTTATCTTCTTTTCTCCATCACTCTCTAGCACGCACATCAAGCCATGAAAACACTCGTCAGTGACATCTCAATAGTCTACACTCTCTTCAAATATCGAAGGTTTGGTTTTGTTCATCAGCTTCTGCAAATAAACTCAAGAAAGATGCAAAATTTTGAACTCTATAACGTTGACATAAAATAACTGAAAAGATCAAGTAAGTAAATAGCCATTCTTCGGAGGATGATGTCACAGAATAGAAGCAAAAACCTGTGTCACCAATCCACATGATTAACCTCCCTATCGGATGAGTGTTTCACAGTAGATATGCCACTTGTGGAGGTGGTTGCATAAATATATACAGGTACAGGTACATATAATGTGTATTAAAGTCTTCATCATGCTAATGCAGCAAGCAACATTGACGTCATCATCATGCTAAATTTTGCAAACATGCCTTAGATTCTCTTCATGCATAAGTTGTTGGATCTGGGGGTTCCACTCAAATTATAGTATACTACTAAACCTCAACTGACCATTATTCTACGATGGGCCCTTGGGTTTCTATCAATTCATCAACAGGAAGAAACCTTTGGTCTTGGGGTGCACTTGGACTAATGCTTCCTTAACTAAAAAGATTAATTAAGTTAAGACTCTCTTGATTGAAATTAGGCTATTCTTTAAACCGTACTTTCTTGATTAATTAAGTTACAAAGAATCGTAGTTTGGATATCATGACGGAACCAAGTTCCGGAAAATCTACAAGTGGTGCTTAAATGTTATTGGTAGATCGATTGACTTGCCAAATTGCAGAGAGCTAGATTTATTGGAACGATTGAAGCCCTGACCCTACTTACAAAATAATGGCAACGAGAAACTTTAGATGATATCAGCTTTATTAAATATGATCGGCTGCTTATAAAAGTCCAAGAAGAAAATATTATGGTTTAAAATTTTAAATTTATGTACGAGCCAAATGTAAGATTGACATGTTCTAATGATATAAAACGTCATATGATAGGGTTGACTATATATCAAGAGTTTTTTATATTATGTTATTAAAAAATATCATCCTAGTCAATCCGAAATTATTTCGACCTATATGTGCTGGGGAGGAGGGGTGTAATTTTAAGTCCGAATTAATAATCCAAGATAGATAAGTGTGATGATGAACAGTAAAAAAATGACCACCTTCGTAACTATGTTAGAGTAAGTTTTTATACCTAATAATAGATGGGACAACATATTTGTAACATATTTCTACGTGTTCATCGTGAACAGATGGATAAGAAACAACTTGTATCCCTTTCTAACCTAAATGCAACACAAAAATCATACATGATATCCTCCCTATTATATTCTCAGTTCACGTGGAGCGGACCAATAGAGGAGGTGGGTGGAGAGATGGGATCAAGTCCGCAAAGCAAAACAAAGGAGCGCGGGTGCAAAATGCAGGTGAAACACAGACGAACGATTCGTGAGCCAAGCCAAGAAAGCCGTATCCAAATGCCCAGAAAGATGAAGGAAAAGAAGCGTATTATCCATCGGATTATGAAAATTGATACCATGTGATAAAAAAATTGAAGCTAATAATATTTGTTCGGATAACAAAGAAAGGCAGTATTCATAATTTATCAAAGCGAAAATTTTAACAATTAAACAAAATCTAAAGCAAGATGGATATAACCAACCCAAACCAAACTCCAGATAGATTCTCTCATTGGTGCATTCGCTAAAACAAGTGGTAGTTCAAATAAATGGCCCGCACATCAATGACCAAAGATTTTCTACGCAGAACAACAACATATGACATTGTATCTTATGCAGGGTACTAATACTCATACAGGATATGAACCGCTAATTGTTGATTTAATAGAACCCCTCCTATGCATAACACGGATAAACTTGTATTGAATGTGAAAATCATGGTCCCCTTATTGAAACAACACTCCATGGGTCGCTCAAACTTGGCTAAACCAGTAGTATAGTAACAAATATTTAAGTTCCATAGTTTGCCGCATAGGTAAGTTCTCAGATAGCTCGATGATAACCATCAAAGATCATAGAGAGATTTACCATTTATGAAGTCAACCACTTCAGTAACAGCATGATCAAGTGCGGCAGTAACTGCAATCAAGTTTTGCATGAACTCTTCTGCAGTGGGCTTGTCCCCATCCACAATATCTGTCACAGCTTTGACAAAGATAGCTGGGACTGATAATAAATCTGCAACATATGCCACTGCTGCTCCCTGATAAAATGTACATAGCCCCCCATTAATAACAGGAAAATTAGCCCAGCCAGAGACAACTTGAATGATTCATATGAAATGTGGAACTAAACTGATGCAAAACATCCGTTCAGATCTAAATGAGACATCACCAAAAGGATCTCATGTAAACGGTTCCCGCCCTTTACTTCTAACCTTTATGGCCTGTACTTTTTACCTAAAGAAGTTTATGCAGGTGTCCCCTTTATTTGAACTTGTCCAGCCTGTATTTCTCTAATACAAACAGCAACTTACAGTTGCTTATTGTTTCATACATGCTGTTATCAATTAATAGCCCTCGAATTTGAGGTTCAAAAATTTGTGATGGTAGCAAAGCTTGTAAATAATAAATCCACGAGACATTTAATTTACAAGGAATCCCTCAAGAGTTATTATCTCTGTTGGATCAAATTTAAGAATATCGAGAATCTAAATGCAAGCCAAACTTGTTAGGTATCAATACAAATCAGACGAAAGGTCATATTGAAAAGCACATGAGAAGCATTATCTGGCAGCTCCAAATGGAATAACTACATTTTAATTACTCGTGAGCCATGATAACAGTAGATTCATTGACTCAAAGCTGCCCCAACATTAATACTTTTAGAACCATCATATATATCTGTAAAACCAAAAGAGGCTGGCCTAATATACGAGGCTCCTAACAATGCAGGAGTTGAATATGATCAGCAAAAGCAATCTTAACCTTAAAATCAGATGTTTCGGGGAGAAAATCTCTAATCACCTAGATCATAAAGTAGCATACTTACCATGGAAAGCTAATTCTCCCATGTGTCTTTAAAGTCAGAATATAAAAAAAAATGATATGATTGGAAAATACAACTAATAATATTTGAGCCAACTTGTTGGTATTCTACCCTTGTTCCTGTCTACTCCAAGGCTTAAAGCCGATACTTGAAAGCCTCAATCTTATTATAGTGTATGGTGGAAGCCTGTTCCCAGTTTTGCCCTGCAAGGACTAATTTAACCATCCCAATGTTGCAAGAGATTACAACAGTTGCTGATTTTTTAAGGATCAATTTGCTTGTGTTTCTTTCAATCTAAGAATTTATGCTTTTTCAAAATTGACCGAGGGATGGAAAGATTGAGAAACAGAACTGTCCGGTAGGATTCATGTACAAGGAAGTATCCGTGCTTAAGAAATTGATGCACAAGAGGCAACAAATGTCGTATTACTTATTGAAAATGGATTGAAACAACATGAATTTTGTTTATTGGAAATGGACTGAAACAATATGAAATCACAAACTAAAAGCTATCAATCACATTCTGGCAATGTGACCGCACAAGGAATCCATTATCAACAGTACTATGTGACCACCAAACTTGTTACTGACTTAGTGGTAACGCATGCTCTCAATATCCCCGACACTCGTCCCTTTCCAAGGATGAAGTTGATGAATTATGCCAAAGAAGAATTTACCTCCATGTCTTTGACAGTCGCATCGTTTGCCAGAATTGATGCTTCATCCTGAGGAGACATATCTAAGGAATTGCCAGTCGACAACCTCCCAACCTGTTATAGAAATATATACATGAGCCTGCTCAGCCATCAAGCCCAAACAAAAGGCAATTCAGTAATAGATTTTCTAACTTACAATTAATTGAATATTCTTCCAACCAAAATATACTAGATTAAAAGGTTCTGAACGGCATTAAACATGTTGAAAGGCTATTGTAGGTCTGCATTGAATGCTTGGATGTAAGCATTTTGTGGAAACAAAGGCACAGAAGGTTCAAGAGCAGGCCGAGCAAACTCAAACCTCACATTATACTAATACCCGCACTTATCTATCCAAACAACCCTCTTTACTTATTTTCACAAAGAAAATATCAAATGCATCCATATTAGATACAACCATTTTATGATTCTCTATTAAGTACAGTATAAATACCTTCAAGTTAACTTCTTTTAGGAGGTTCGGAGTAGAAAATGTTTGCCTAGATCCAATTCCATATAAATCAAAGACCTGCATATGTACAAGAACAGGTCAAATGTGAGGGGTTAACTTCAGCAAAGCTTTCACAACTGCATCATTATAAGAGAACATTCCATGAAGTGAGCTTTGATCAAGTAAAGAACTGAATAATTAATACACTGAGAGCATAAACTTTAATGTCATTTAGAAATTTCCACATCCCCTCCTAAAGCTTTATGGGAAGTTAGCAATTGCATTGCAGAAATAGAATCTCACAGTTCTTTAATAATTTCATAGATCTATTTTGTTAAGTCCCTAAATCTCATAAGACGCAAGCAGGGATGAAAATCGTACCTGCGTGCTCTAAGTCTATTGTTGCTTCATGTTTTTTTATCAAATTTTGATTATGGAATCTGAT